TTTCTATGACTTATTTTGTATACAGTCTATCTCTTTTCCTGCAAGACTGTTACAGGGCGTGAGGAAGCGTGTTGTGCTAATTGGTACGTAAGCCACATGATCTGCAGACCTTTTGAACTAGACATCTGTTGAGCACTTCTATTATATTTGGTGATTGCGGGACAGCGGACTGAAGTTGTTCCTTTCATCCAGTGTTTGATACACAGATTTAATATAAAGATTGCTTTTTCTGATCCATCACTGACGTATGTAGCAGCCTGTGTCAGGAAACTATTTCTGTCCTCAATCAGACTGAAAGGTTCCCAGGACTCTCAATTTTTTTGAGAGAGAGTGGTTGTCCAAAACAATAAGGGAGCTTCTCCATACCTCCATCGCAGTCAGAATCATGTTTTCATATGATTTCTCATGCAAGGAGCAGTGCTGTACCAGGAAAAAAGTCCTGATTTCACTGCCAATACTGAAGACAAATAGGACAAGGAATGACATTTCCTCACCAGCATCTGCTCTCTTGAGTGATTTATAGCAGTTATGAGTTTTAGAAGTCTTCTACCTATGCATGCATTCAGGCTGATACAGTCTTACGTGTGAAATGTGGCAGCTTTAATGTGTAGTGGAACACAACTAATGATATTGATTCACTCATGAAATGAGTATTTTCTTGGGCTTAATTACTCTAGACAGATTTCTTTTCCTTTACCCAATTTGTAACAGGACCCAAGCTGCTTTGCTCCTGATGGCCACTGATGAGCATGTGAGCTTTTCCTTCAGGATAGTAATGGCACCCATCGCTACAGCTTCAGAAGCCTCCACACGCAGGCAGTTGGAGAGCGTATCTAGGATCAGCTCCTGGATTTCATCCAACTCAGTCTTCAATTTGGATACAAGTAAGTGAATCAGTCCGGCGCGCAGAACGCCAACAGCCCCTGCAGGAGACACAGAAGGAACATGGGTGAGGTGTGAGTGCGTTTGCTATTTCTACCTGCTCTTTGAATTTCTTAATGGGATCAAAATACCCATGGTAACTCATTGCTGTGTGCAGATGTGGGATTGAGAGATGGAAACTGCTACAGCACTGCTCTGTTCATAAATGCCATCTTAGCATTGCTTCCTCAGGAAGCTTCCCCAACAGCCAAGTAAAGACACCAGCCCAGTTATTACCCAAAATGGCAACTGCTCTGATGTTCCCAGTTTTCCCTACTATAATATTTCTCTCAGAATTGTTCTTGCTAAGAAAATACAGGAAATATTTTTCTATGTATGTCACTTTATATCCAGTCTTTCTGTTCTCAACATGAACAGATGTTGAGAGAGGCTGAGAGGTGAGTCGTTAGAGCTAATACTTGGATTCTCCACTATTGTTTCTACAGGGAAAGTCAAAGTTTTGGAAACTGTCAGCTTCGTCACACATTTCTTTGTGTATTCTGTCATGGGGAAAATACAAATGTTGAGCTTTCCAGCAGTTGGTACTCGTGTGCTGTTGCCTAGAGGAAACAGCATCATAGGTAGAAGGGTTGTCATTTGCCCTGTGAGTCACATCTTTGCTATCCTACACCATATGAAGTCAACACTGCAACAGCAATGCCATGGGAAAGCAGAATGTCCTGTCCACAAGTTACTATGTGAAAACAAAATTCTCCAGCTGTCTTGTTGCTAAGACTGGTTCTTTGGTTGCTAAGAGAAATGTGGCTCCTATAGAAGTGATTCATACATGGTTAGATAAGGAAGTTTGGTGCAAGAAGACATTGCTTCCTTTAATTTAACTGTCCATCTTTTTGTAACAACTATTGCTGCAGCCTTCTGTTTACATTTCTTGTGCTGGTAGATGGATTTTTTCTTTCCCAAATGGGTTTCCATTACTCTTTTTTTTTACTTCGTAGAATCACAGAACCACAGAACGGTTTGGGTTGGAAGGGACCTTAAAGCTCACCCAGCCCCCCCCCTGCCATGGGCAGAGACACCTCCCACCAGCCCAGGTTGCCCAAAGCCCCGTCCAACCTGGCCTTGAACACTTCCAGGGAGGGGGGACTTGCTTTCAAATACTTAATAGCCATTTTTTAACATATCATCTTCATTTCTGTTTTTATTTTCCTGTGTTTCCCTCTTTTTTCAGGACTTCCTTGACTTACTTCAGTCCTTAATCACTTTATCATCATATTGCCAGGAAGTACCATCAGCATTCAGGTTTCACTTCTTTGTCTTTCACTTATCTTCTAATACATTTGACCAATACATTCAACTAGACAGTACTGCTTTCATTGGCTCTTGAATTTATTCCTTCCAGTTAATATTTATTGACTTTCTTCGACTCAGTCATCCCTCATTCGTTGCATTTGCACTTCAGGTCTTCTTTTAGTGCTACCCTTTACCATTGCACTGCAGTCCTGAGTGCAGAATATACAACAAAATCACTGTACGCCTTTCTGTTTCAATAAGCTGGCAAGATAATGCACACTGTATTGTCTAGGGTAGTGTTTATTTTGTGGAGCCGTTAAGTAGTATTTATTCTGTGGTCAGAAATCCCTACGTAGGTAGTGGGTGCTCATTTTGTATGAACGCTTGGGCTGTTTTCTCTTTTTAAAAAGAAGTTTTATTTTCCCAGGCCAGGTCTCTGTACCAGAAGTTTGCTTATCTACCATTTTTGTCAAGCTGTCCTAGCTGAAATGCTGTCATGCTACTAAAGGGAGCTTCCCAGATGTGAGTATAGAAACAAAGGTGAATTGTTTGACCTTGTAAAAAAGTCTCAACGTGCTGAAGAGTTGAAAAGCCATCAACAACGACAACAAAGAGACAACCTAGCATTGAGACTGCCCTTTCCAGCTGGCAATTTGTCATGGCTTTGCCAAGGGAGTCAAAGGGTGAAAGGTGTAGGGAGGCAAACGGGAAAAGGGAGGAGGCAAAACCAGTGGAAAGTTGTCTGAGAGTTACTTGTAAATGAGAGCAGCCTCAGCTCTTACTCAGCAATGGGAGGGGAAGGTAAGCTGGTGTTTCTAGCAGTCCTGTACTAAAAAAGGTGGCAGCATCCTTAGGATCTTGACTTTTCATTAAAATCTGCCCTTTTCAAAGGTGATTTATGTACTGCAGAGCACGTTCTAGATACCCTGGGCATAGTGAAGTAGTAGAGAAAAATATTTCCAAAATGCAAATAGTTGCATTTGCAGCTGCATAGTTTACACTATTATTGATCTGTTTTTCTGAGAATTTGTGATCTTCCCTTGGGCTGCTTTTTATCTGAGCACTCATCTCTTCCCTCTCATAACCCTCTGGTCACTCTCATCCTCCCTTTCCTGACTCTTTTTTTCAAATAGGCCCAAAGAAGAGTCGCCATTTATTCTGTTCTCTCAGTATGGCTGCAGGGCATGCAAACAAATTAAATTTGGTAGAAGACAACAGAGTCATTTATAGTGCATAACAGTGGTGTTTTGTTTTGGTCTTCAATTACATAAATCAATTAAATCACATTACAAATCCTTTTCCTTACAAATGTCAGTTTTCAACCCAGAGCCATTTAAATGTTTGTTTTGGCACAGAGCATGTGCCTCATGCATGGCCGCAAAGTGCCATACAGTGCAGTATAAAACAGTCAAATAACACGTAAACACAGACTCTATACGATATGAATGTTTTGTTAACACCTCGGCTGTCTCTTTGTGATGTTCACACAACCATTTGAAACTCTGAGGATCAGCATTTCTACCTGGGACGGGCACACAAGGAAAAGCAAAGCAGGGCCAGGCGCAATGGACAGACACTGCCCGGCACCGCGGGGCGCTGTCAGCGCTCCCAGTCCACGGCCCTCAGATCCCAGAGGGGGAGCTCACTGCCAGGGAGCAGCCAATGATCCCGACATCTCTAGAGCTAGCAGCTCTCTTGCTAGTGCTGTGATAGTTTAGCACCATTTTAGAGGTAACAAAGTGTTCATGAAACTAGTGAGTGCTGGCAGACATTGTATACGGTTCTGAATGCAGTGCTGGTATAACGTTGCCTTCGCGTGACAAGGTGACCACAGAAGATCCTTCCCTGGCACAACTTCCCAATAACTCCTTGCTCACGACTGTTTAAATTGAAAAAAAACCCAAACAACTAAAAAATTACTCTTTAGACTCCCTGAGAAGATTTCTGAGTCACCAGTCATAGGAGCATAGTTTGAGAACCCTGTAGTAGCTGATTTAATGTTAAGGTTCAGTATTTTGAGTCTCAGTGCTTCCACCATTAAGGCTGTGTCAGGGAGTAGATTAAACTACAGATTACTACTATAAAACGGGCCTGAAATGTCTCTAGTAAGTTTGGAGCAGGAGGTAGACCACATTAAATGAAACAGAACTCACCTGCCTATACCCCCTCAACTTCATCAGCTGATGAAAAGGAAAATTCTGTTGACATTTTTGCAAGCCAGAATATTTTCTTCTTCTTTGCAGCAGTATCCTTCTGTCTTTCAATGATAATTTAAGGGGAATAAACAGTAGTGTCTCAAAGGATGCCTATGCCTAAAGACAAAGAGTCTCTCTTATCTTAAAGGGCTGAGAGGTGGAAAGGCCTTGTTTAAATCAACTGAAGAGCTACGGGGATATTGAGAGAACTGAGGAAAACACTGCAGATATTGGTATTGGACTAGAAATAGTAAACAATTCTATTTCAAGCCATTTCAGATCCATGCATTGGCTCAATGCACTTATCTTATGTCAGCCCTAGGGATTTACCATAGAATCACAGCCTCAGTAGGAGTGTCTGCCATATCCTCACTAATAATACAATAGCTGTAAACTTTATAAAAGCATTATGGGATCTGCTTTTGAAGCCACTGAGAATTTTTCCAGCACTAAGGATTTTGGAATGTTATCTGAATAAAGACAGAATAGAAATTAAGGTTATGAAAATATTAAAAAGTCAGCAGTACAGTGGAGAAGCACACAATGTGGCTGCCTCTGGGGATCCTTTAAAAATCCATGACGTTTCCAGCGTTGAGAAGGAACAGGAAAGACTGCTCTGATAAACAAGAGGTTCCTAATCCTCAGAAAGACTGAAAAACTCCTGCATCTCATCTGTGTTTTTAGGAACTTTGCTTTAGTGTATGTGAAATTGTAGTACCAAAGCACTGCTGAAAATAATTAACATGGAAACCACAACCAATATATCTGCATTAGCATCTCTATTATAATTTAGAAATCCAAGAAACAGATTAACTTAAGAAAAAAGGTCATTTTGATTGTAAATAGGATTGCCTGTGACCTTCTGCTTGAAAGCAATGGGTTTAATCATCTAAATAATTTATGCCCTGTGAAAAGAGGGGTAATATCTAAAGAACTTAAAAATTCTGGCCTACAGAAGTTCTTTTATCACAGCATCTCTAGAAACTCTGGGGATGAATTAGAGTACACTTGTGTTTCACTGAGAGACGGTTTCCAACCTGAAAAATAAATCGTGGACTCTGTTTTTGTACAAGAATTATCTACAGGGTAAGATCAATAATTGACCAAGACAAGATTTATTTTGTGTTTTTATTTTGCTCTTCTGGACTCAAGCTGCAGCTACCTCCCATATAACTGATCTTCCTCGAGTTTTCTACATTTTTGACCTAGCATACAGATACACTCATGATCACCCTATATACCTCTGTGTGAATGTATGTGCATATGTATAACGTGCACTCAACTGATCTTGCATGCATATTGGTCACATAAATTAGGAAATTTGTCAGCTTTTATTTCTCTCACAAAGCACCTTTTCTTTATTCAGTTTTTTTTTTAAATCATAAAAATGGAAGACTGAAAATAACCCAGAGGGTTTTTTCTTCTTGTTCTTTTGGATGAACAAGGAAATGTCATCCTGAAATGTATTAATTTCCTGCACAAGGAAGACTTTGCCAAAATGCAGGAAGGAAGGAAAACAATGTGACACATGTACGGCTTGTGCCGAAGTCCTCGGATCAACCACTACAGAGAAATGAAAGCCTTGAGATAACTACTCCCAAA